AAGGGGTTTTTGCCCAGGGGGGGGGGCTGAAGGGGGGGGGGGGGATAACTCTTGTCAGTGAAGAGAATTGCGCGGCCAGATTTGGCGAAGGGAGAAAGGAATTCGCCCGGGTCCATCTGAGGGAGCGTCCTTTGCGCTTCCCTGTGGAGGCGGAGAGGGCGGCTCCTTCTCGGGACGTGCGCAGGGGACCTCGTTTGTGGCGGGAAGCGAGCCTGCTGCGCGCGGAGCCCCCGGCCTCTGGGTCTGTCCGTGTAGTGGCGAGGCGGGGGACCGTATTCCGGTTCGGTTGCGGAGAGCCAGCTAGTGGGACCGTCTCATCAGGGCGAGACTGGCTCGCGTGCTTCTGGAAACAGCGGAAAGGTCGCCTCGGTTGGTGTGTGGGTGGGAGGAACGCCTCTCCCCGGGGCAGATGTGAGCGCGCGTGGGGGAGCCCCAAGAAATAAGTGGCTGCTGCTGCGCGCTTTTCCCGAAAAAGAGAAGGGACCCTGGGCGGGGAGGACAGCGTTCGCCCCAGTTCCCCTGCGGGGATATTGGAGGGTGTGTGTGTGTGTGTGTATGTTCGTCAGGCAAGGCAACCGCCCGGCGCGTTTTCCCCGAGGCGCCTGCTGCAAGGGCAACTGGTGTGACTTCAAGTGCTTTGTGACTTCACCCCCCGCCAGGCGGCTAACAAGTCCTCCCGCCGCGCCGCCAGTCCGCCGCCCCCATGCCCATTGCCGGCGAGAGGCAGCCACTGATCCCCAAGGGGGGCCGCGGGTGGATGCCCTGCGCCTTCACGCGGGGAGTGGCCTTCATCCCGACGCTGCTGGTGTCCTGGTCTTCGGCCGCCTTCATCATCTCCTACGTGATCGCCGTGCTCTGCGGCCATGTGGAGCCGCTTTTCCCGTATATCAGGTGAGACGGGGGTGTCAAAGAGGCGCCCCCTGTTGGCCGCGGGGAAGAGGGTCGGCGGGACACCGGGCTCCCCCGGGCCTGTTGCTCTGCGCGGGCAGCGCAATGGACTCTGGTATTGATAGCAAGTTTGGTGTTAACTGCGTGGACTCTAATCTGGGAGAATCGGGTTTGATTCCCCACTCCTTCACTTGCACCTGGCTGGATGACCTTGGGCAATCCGTGGTTCTGATAAGAGCTGCTTTTGAAAAAGAGCAGTTTCTGTCAAGAGCTCTCTCAGCCCCATCTACTTCACAGGGTGTCTGTTGTGGGGAAGGGAAGGGAAGGGAAAGGAGTTCGTAAGCCGCTCTGAGACGCCTTTGGGTAGTAAAGGTAAAGGTTCCCTTGCTCGAAAGCCAGTCGAATCCGACTCTAGGGTTGCGGTGCTCATCTCTGTTTCAAAGCCGAAGAGTCAGCGCTGTCTGAAGACGTTCCATGGTCATGTGGCCAGCATGACTAAACGCCAAGGCGCATGGAACGCTGTTACCTTCCCACTGAAGTGGTACCTATTTATCTACTTGCAGTTTCTTGCTTTCGAACTGTTAGGTTGGCAGGAGCTGGAACTAGAGACGGGAGCTCACTCCGTCATGCGGCAACTCGGGTCTCGAACTGCTGAACTACTGACCTTCCACAGCCTGCAGTTCAGCGTTTTAACCACTTGAGCCACCGCAGCTCCAGGGTAGTAAAGGGCGGGGTATAAATCCAATCTCTTTTCTTCTTCTCTGGGGCACCTTCAGTGTGCGGAGGGAGGTGGTGCACATCTTACGTGTGTTTTCTTTAAAACTTTGCGATTGAGAAGGCTAGCCCAGCAGTGAAAGGACCCTGATTTGGCTTGCACCGTAGGGTAGGAACTGTGGGTGGAGCCTGGTTAGGGTTGCCAACCTCCAGGTGGGGCCTGGACCTCTCCCACTGTTACAATTGATTCTCCATATTATGTTACAATTGATCCCCATATTACAGAGACCAGTTCCCCTGGAGAAGATGACTGCTTTGGAGAGTGGATCTATGACCTTTTACCCTGCTGAGGTTCCTCCCCAAACCCTGCCCTCCCCAGGCTCCTCCCCCCAAATGTCTAGATGTTTCCCCACCCTGGAGAGGGTGGGTTTGGGGGAGGGGAGGGACCTTGGGATATAATACCATAGAGTCTACCCTACAAACCAGCCATTTTCTCCAGGTGAACTGGACATCAGTTGTAATTCTGGGAGGTCTCCAGACCCCTCCTGGAGGTTGGCAGCCTGAACCATGCAGACTCTTTTTAAAAGAGGGGCTTGTTCAGAAATGGTATCCATCACCTGCAATCTTAAGTGGTATAGTCCCCTAGAACACCTCAATCTGCTACAGGTGTACAGTAGGTTAGGACAGAGAGGGTTCTGTTTCCTGAGTTAGAGGCTGTGATCATAGGCACCTGAGCAGAATCAGATCATAGGCACCTGAAATCAGAAGCAAGCCCCATTTATTTCAGTAGGGTTTTGCCTACCTGGTAAGTGCGCTTGAGATAGCAAGTTTAATTTGCAGGTTGCATTCCATTGACAGCACTGGAATGTAACCACAAAATGCCAGTCAGTCCTAAGTAAGGCCCAAAATGGATGTTATGCTGGGAGAGCAGTGTTTGGATCACAATGGTGGTCTTCTTTATTTTCTTTACAACAGCTACCAAAATTGTGCAAGGCTTGGGGGAGAGGGACTCTATTTTGATTATTGAAATCATGTGGAGTCAATCATGTGGTTACACCCTTTTATCCCATGGTTATGACTACAGTCCTGATCCAAATTAAACCATTTAGGGCAGCTATTCGCCTTATAAGCCTATCAGGCGTGAATGTCCTACTCTGGTTGCATTTTTGTTGGCAGAATGCACAGAGAACCAGCTGTATTCCTTTGTCCCTTTAGAGCATTGTCACCTTGCAGTAGTTAAAATTGTCCCCAAAATACAACCAGTTACAATTTACAGTTTGTTTTCTGCAAACAAAATTCTATGCATTTTGCCCTTGGGGTACTTTTTTTGCCTCAAGCCAATTTTACGTATTGGGGTAAAAATACCATATGAAAACACTGCTGCAGGGAACCATTTTTAACTGCTCTGGAGAGATACAGACCTTCATGAAAACCTGATGGCCTTTTCCTATCACGTGAAGAATATCCTCATCACAGAGACATATGTCCTTGGGCTAAAAAAAATACCATAAGGTCCAAAAATTTAATTCATTTAATATTCAGAAAAGCATATTAGCTTTCTAATACCAATTTGTTTCAATTTTAAAAAAAACTTTCTAAAGGAAACATGCCGGTATGTGTTATTCAAGTGACTTCTGCCACTACAAACAAATTCTCTTTGTGGCAATTTTTTTACAGTACTTTAGGAATTTGGCTTGGGGTAGAAATATACCCAAAATGCAATACGTGCACGTTTTTACATGGTTCTTAAAGGGTTCCAGTGGTTCCGGTCTTGGATTTCCCAGGACTTCCTGTTTTGCCTCTTAATTTGTGCAGGTTTGAACTTTATACTATCCTCAGCACATTTATCTGCAAAAAAGTCTCACTGATTTCAGTGATAATTGTTCTATAGTAAAATGCTTAGAATTGCAGCCCAATGCTTAGGATTGCAACCCAAGGTACGTACTAGGTAGGAAGCAAGTCTTAATAAACTCATTCGGACATAATTCTGAATAAGCATCATAAGGATCAGGTTGCATGTTTTGCATAGAAAAGAGAATGTTACTGACTAGAGTTGTTCTCCTCACTGTAGTGAAGAGAATGTTACCAGCTAGAGTTGTCCTCACTGTAGTGTGTGGTGGTGAACAGCACCTGGTGACATTTTCCCCCCTTCTACAAAAGAACTGCCTTTCTTGGTAGTGCATTTGTACCAATCATTAACAACTACAGGATGATTAGTCCCTTAGTGCCGTTCATTAAAAACTACACTCAGTAGATGAAGCTTTCCCCATTTATTACACTTACATCCCCCCTCCCTCAAGTTGTACCTCTTAAAAGTTTTCCTGTCTTGGAGCTATTAAAAGCACAGATCTTGTGTTAGAGGAAAAAAACATGGCAACCATTTGTTGAATGAGAGTGCCCCATTTAGTGGTAAGGGTAAACTGGCAAAGAGGCACTACTTTCAGTCAGTATTTTCCCCACGTGTACACAGATGTGGGAAGTGTACTATATGGGACAACGAGGGATGTAACCAAGTTAGGGCCTTGTTCACACAAATTGTAATTTCAGCTTAGCAGCTGCATGCTAAGTCACAAATGTCCTTTAATTTTTATATTCATATAGGAGAGAGAAGTCGAAATGAGGAAGGGTGTTCAGGCCCCTTTGTAAGAAGTAGTAATACCCTGACTTTGCACTGTTGGTCATTAAAGCAGGAAAGGCCTGCTTTTCCCTGCTGCTTTTGCGGCTTAACATACGGGATGGTTAAGGGCATTCTAGGGACTGGAGTGAAAAACAACCCTAGTATTTGCTGCGATGACGAGACTGAGCACTGTCCTCGAGGGGGAATGATATGTGCTAATGTGGTGCACTGATTCTCTGCTGAGAAGGAAGTTGGCCTAGCCTTAATGCTTATCTTTGTGGGAGAAAGCATTTATTGAACGTTCCCTTTGACATAGATAGTTACTGGACTCTTCAGCACAGCTGAAGTTAAAAGCAAGAATGTGTACTTTTCCTCTTGTGTGTCAGATCAGTTTGTGCTTTCCCCACTTTCTGTTAATACCTACAGGAGTTTGAAACAATTCCAAAACACCACAGTGTTAAGCATTGGACACATTTGCTGTACAGCAAGTTGGGAAGAGCTTTTTTTGTGCAAGACATTATTTTAGCCAATTGATGGGAGATAGAAAAGGGGACGGAGAGAGGATTATCTGCATTATACAGGGGGAGGGGGATGTCTGTGCCTGTCATGTAGATAATAAAAGGTTCTATTCAGTATTTGCATTCTACGTCCTGGCCCCTTCGGAACAAGACTAAGGCTGCGGTCACACACACTAAATAATCCATTTTCAATGCACTTTCCAACTGGATTTTGCCAGTTCGCACAGTAAAATCCAGTTGGAAAGTAGATTGAAAGTGGATTATTTAGTGTGTGTGACTGCAGCCTAAGGCTGCTTCACGTTTGTTGAATAATGCACTTTCAATACACTTGCAAACGATTGTTTAAAGTGCATTATCCAACTTACATGAAAGCAGCCTTAATCACAGATTGAACAGTCCCAAGCCATCCCTCTTGTCTTTCCCCACCATTTTTAATGTTATTGATTTAAGTGACAGACTGAGGGAAAAGGTGTAACTATTTTTAAAAAGCAAAGATACAAAACTTTAATGAACAAATGGCACCCACACCAAGTCAGTAAAGTATATTGTGTTAGAATAAAACAAAGGCCCAAAGGTGTTTTGATAAAGCCTTCATTTTATGGTTAATTAGTAACTACATAACCATAAAATGAATTAACCAAGAATGTGTTTATACACTCACACACACATAAAACATACACCTGGGAATATTGTAGCCGCAATAAACTCCATAAAAGCAATACCTACAAAATAAAAAGCTGCTAGTAAGCTATAACTGTCCCGATACAGATCCATTTAAAATGACAATGGGATAGGTAAGAAATACATGTCATTTTCTGATAAATGTACTCATTGAGTTACTATGAAACACTGTAAAGGAATAAAAGTATATCTTGGCATCACTGATTTGCTATCACCTGGTTACAAGAATATATCACCAATGTTGCCAGTCAATCAAAAGGTCAGTTTTTCAAGGCTAGAGAAATCCATTTAAAATTTGAGTATTGTTAAAGTAGGTAGTATGAGTTAAGGTAGCATGTAGTTCCTACAAGATGTTCAAGAAGAATTGTTAAACCATCAGCGTGCTATCACTGAAAATTTACTGGAAGAACTGTGAAAAATCTTATATACATATGCTGGTTTTAATAGTGCTGTATTTTAAAATATCTTTGAGG